ATAGCTACTGGTCTACTGACCACAGTTGATGGGCCTGCCACCAGTGTGTGGATCTACCTTCTAAAAATGGTCATCCTGTGGGGCGCCTGGGTGGCTCAGTCAATGGAGCATCTGACTCTTGGTTTGAGCTCAGGTCATGATCTCATGGGTCGTGAGATAGAGCCCCGTGTTGGGCTCTGCCCTCAGCGCGGAGTCTACTTGAAGATTCCCTCCCTCTGCCCCTCTCCCCCAACGCTCTCGCTCTCTCTTAAATAAATAAATAAGTCTTAAAAAAAAAATAAAAGTGGGCATCCTGGGTTTTGGGCACCACTGAGGTTTCACCATCTACCTAGCTCCTAAACCTCCCACAAGCATTTTTGTCCACGAACGGCTGCCAAATATTTGTTTCGGTGAGGGTGTGTGGGCTGGGGATGTATTCTTCCCTCTTGCGGTCCCTTTTCTGTAGTTTTCTCTTCTTGTCATGTTTTTGTCTGATTTTGGTATCAGGGTAATGCTGGCCTCTTAGAATAAACTTGGAAATGTTCCCTCCTCTTTCAGTTTTTTTTGAGGTGGGGGAAGAGTTTCAGGAGGATAGGTGTTCATTCTTTCAATGTTTGGTAGAATTTACCAGTGAAGGGCGCCTGGGTGGCTCAGTGGATTAAGCGTCTGTCTTTGGCTCAGGTCATGATCCCCAGGATCCTGGGATTGAGTCCTGCATGGGGCTCCCTGCTCAGCGGGAAGCCTGCTTCTCCCTCTGCCCACCCCCCACCCCCCGTCCTCCCCTTGGGCTTGTGCTCTCGCGCTCTCTCTCTTGCAAAAAATAAATAAATAAAATCTTAAAAAAAAGAATTTACCAGTGAAGCCATCTGGTCCTGGGCTTTTCTTTGTTGGGAGAATTTTTATTATTGATTCAATCTCCTTGTTAGTCGTCTTTTCAGATTTTCTATTTCTTCATGATTCAGTCTTGCTTTGTGGTGTGTTTGTACGAATTTATCCATTTCTTCTGGGTTGTCCCAATTTGTTGGCATACAGTCTGTCCAGATTGTTATAAGGATATTTGTGATGGCATTTAGCGCCAACCAGGATAATCTCCCCATCTCAGGATCCTTAACTGAATCACATCTGCAAAGACTCTTTTCCCATATAAGGTAACTGTTATGGGCTGAATTGTATCTCTGCAAAATTCGTATGTTGAAATCCTACCCCCAGTACCTCAGAATGCAACTGTGTTTGGAGAGAGAGCCTTTAACGAGGCAATTAGGTTAAAATGGTCATCAGAATGGGCTCTGGTCCAATCTGACTGGTGTCCTTATAAGACGAGGAGATTAGGAACAGATATGCACAGAGCGGAGACCACCGTGGGAAGACACAGGGAGAACAAGCTGAGGAGAGGGGTCTCAGAAGAAACCAACCCTGCCCACACCTTGATCTTGATCTTCTGGTCTCCAAAACTGTGAGAAAATAAATTTTTGTTTTTGAAGCCCCCCAGTCTGGGGTACATGGCTATGGCCGCCTGAGCAGACTAATGCAGTTAATAGTCATAGGGTTAGTTGGTAATATTCACAAGGCTCAGGACCCGGATACCTTTGGGGCTATTATCCAGCCTAACACATTCACTTACCATCTTTCTACCGTAGTGCGTAACTAAGAAAAGCAGGGCATTTATGTATTTTATTTTAAAGATTTTATTTATTTAGAGAAAGAGAGAATGAGAGAGAGAGAGAGAGAGAGCACATGAGAGGGGGGAGAGGGTCAGAGGGAGAAGCAGACTCCCCGCTGAGCAGGGACCCCGATGCAGAACTCGATCCTGGGACTCCAGGATCGTGACCTGAGCTGAAGGCAGACGCTTAACCAACTTGTTCTTCAGACAGTGTTTAGCCCCAGGGGAATTTACATTCTGGTGTGGGGAGTCAGATGAGGAACAAAGAGGTGAAATATCCTGTGTCACATGGTGGCAGGCGCTCTGGAGAGAAAGCAGGCAGGGACAGGTGAGGGAGGAGGGGACAGTTTGTGATTTTAGACAGGGAGATGGAGGAGGTGACATTGGAGTCACTGAAGGCCGGGCGGGAGCCAAGCACCTTGATAGCAGAGGGAAGAGCGCTCCGGGCAGGGGAGACAGCAGATGCTGACCCACAGCGGGGTGGCCTGCTCCCTGCAAGGAAAAGAGAGAGGGCCCGTGGAAGTGCCTGGCCTGACGGAGGGCGGGGGAGCGGGACGTGGGGTCAGAACAGCAGGTCCCACTCAGGTGGGGGCTCCGAGGCCGTCAGAAGGCCTTTCTGGCTTTGGCCCTGAGAGAGATGGGAGCCATGGCAGGATTTTGAGTGGATGCATGGCTTGACTTGACTTAGGTGTTTTGTTTTTTTTTTTTTTAAAGATTTTATTTATTTATTCATGAGAGAGAAAGAGAGAGGCAGAGGCAGAGGGAGATGCAGACTCTCCGCCCGACGTGGGACTCAATCCCAGGACCCTGGGATCATGACCTGAGCCGAAGACAGACGCCTAACCATCTGAGCCACCCAGGTGCCCTTGACTTAGGTTTTAAAGGGATTTTTTTTTTTTTTTTTTTGGCTGCTACGTGGAGAGAAGGCTAATGGGGAGCCCGGGAGAGAATCGGGGAGTGAGGAAGCTACTGTGGTCATCTGGGCAAGTGCTCCTGGCGGACCAGGGTACCCAGCCCTGGAGGCTGTGAGAAGGGGCTGGACTCTGGGCGTCTCCTGGAGGTAGCATTGTGGGATTTGCTGGGCAATCTGCTGTGGGGAGTTGGAAGAGAGGAGTCACATTGTCACGGGGGTGTCACCCCTGTGGGTCTCCAGGAAGCCGCCCCTCCCCCTTTCCTCCCCGCGGCCCCCTCCCTGCAGGTGCTCCATCTGTCCAGACCCTCCTCCTTGGTCTTCCCAGTAAATTGCTTTTTTCGCTCCACTGTGCCCTGGGATATCCTCCCAGAGCATCACCCCACCTGCTTCTCCTTCCATCCCAGCCCCTCCTGGCTTTGCAGGCAAACACGCAGATACCCAGGCTCCCGACAAACAGCTCCCTCGCCTCCCTGCTGCTTTATGGGTGTGCCCAGCAGCTGTGGGGTCGGATGCAGGCGTGAGGCCATGTGGGCCCCGGAAGTGGAATTGGTGGTGGTGGGGAGGGGATTCTAGAATCTGGCACCCAGGGCGTGGTGTGAAGGGGAGTTGTGGGCTCTAGGTGGGCACATGCCCAGGCCCCGTGGATTTCTGGCCCCGAGGGGAGGGGAATGGCCCTGGGGCTGGGGGCCTCCGAGGGTGGTACTGAGGCTCCCAGTGACACCTGCAGGACCTCACTTGTTGGGTTTTAGCAAGAACTGAAGCGGTGCCGTGTGGGTGAATGGCTCTTCCTTCGAGGGGATGTCTCAGAGGGAAGCCCGTCTTCAGGTTTGCTTAGGTGGGGCCGTTTCTCCCCTCTCCGCGTGGCTGTTCACCAAGGCCAAGGGTTTGGTTTGGACAGGAGGGTCATTTTGTTTCCTCTACCCCTTCAGCTCTACCCTCAGCGCCTGGAGGCCACCTACCAGGCCCTGTGCCCAAGGTCTTGGGCCCAAGGGGCAGGCCTAGGAAGGTATGGCTGGGTGGGTGAGCCACCTCCTCAGGGGAGGCCCATGTGGGTGTGCATGCGTGGGGCTGGCTGGCCGGGCTTTCATTGCTAAAGGGCGAGCAGACCTTGGAGAAGGGTTGATACACCCAGAGCAGGTGATTTTGGCAAAGAGCCCCCCCAGTACACCTGTTTCTGCCCTGGGGGCAGAGGAGAGAGGACAAAGGAGGCCTTGACCCAGTTTCCTTCAAAAGGTTTTCATTTATTAGTCTTTTCTTAAGCAGTTAATTCTCTTTTCATATTTAAAAGGAAAAAAAAAGGTATGTGTTTTCATCCAGAGTTATACCAAAGTGATTAAGATGAATCTTCTCCTGGGGAATATAGCTCCCAGATCAGAAGAAAAAAAAAATTTTTTTTTTTTTCAATTAACCACGAAAATAAAACCAGGAGAACGTCAACAATCCAAAATCATCCCCAAATATCCAGGACAAAAAATAAAATATTTATTGATCTATCACAGCGAGACACAAAGAAACGGGCGGGGCAGGGGTGGGAAATGCTCTGAAGTGGGTACAGTGGTTCGAGGGAAGGACGGGGGGGTATACAGTACTGCATGGGGGGGACCCAGGTCGGGGAGGAGATTCCTGCCGCCCCAGCTGGTGTAGCTCCTCACACCCTGTGTGCTCAGGCCCCATCGTAGGGGTGTGTGTGGCGGGGGGGGAGGCAGGGCACAGGTCGCCAGGACACATTAACCAGGTTGATGGTGGGGGCACCCAGCCAGCTAGCGGTGCTGGGCAGTCAGCTGGGGACAAGGATGGATGGACGGATGGACAGATGGCTGGATGAATTCCACAAGAGCAAAAGCGCTGTTCCCAGTGGGGGTCTTCCCATCCGCAGGTGTCCCAGACGTGGGGAATAGGTGGGGGGGCAAGGGGGCTGAGAGATGGTATGACCGAATCCAGCTTGAGGCTTTAGGTGCTTAGGTACCAACTGGACCGCAGCCGGGGTTGGGGGGTGGTTCTGGTGGGCAGGGGGAGGTGGGACTGCCCAGGGAGTGTCCGCACCATCTTCAGAGGAGTCCCAAGGGAGGGGGTTCCCGAGGGGCCGCCCTTCCCTCCTCCCTCCCCCCAGGAAGATGAGAGCACCAGCATGTAGCACCAAGTTCCCTGGAGATGGAGAGTGTGTGGAGGGGGAGCTCCTGGGTGGGAAGGGGGTGAGGGCGGGGGGCTAAGCCCACCCACCCCCGGCCTCTGAAGTTGGGGGCCTCCTGGGGTCCACTTGGCCACCTCTCTTGTTTCCTTGCTTTGTGGATTTCCAAGGCCACCCAGCCTGGCCTGTCCCCTCCCAGGGTGGGGACGGGGGAGGGGGG